TTTTCTGGATTGGGATCAATAAGAGATATCCCTGCTTTTTTTCTGGATTTGGATCAATAAAAGATAGTCCTTTTTCTGGAATGGGATCAGTAAGAGATATCCCTGCTTTTTCCTGGATTGGGATCGATAAGAGATACCCCTGCTTTTTCCTGGATTGGGATCAATAAAAGATAATCCTGCTTTTTCTGGATTTGGATCAATAAGAGATATCCCTGCTTTTTCCTGGATTGGGATCGATAAGGGATATCCCTGCTTTTTCCTGGATTGGGATCAATAAAAGATAATCCTGCTTTTTCTGGATTTGGATCAATAAGAGATATCCCTGCTTTTTCCTGGATTAGGATCAATTAAAGGTATTTCTGCTTTTTCTGGATTGGGATCAATGAAAGATATCCCTGCTTTTTCTGGATTGGGATCAATGAAAAATATCCCTGCTTTTTTTCTGGATTTGGATCAATAAAAGATAGTCCTTTTTCTGGAATGGGATCAGTAAGAGATATCCCTGCTTTTTTCTGGAATGGGATCAATAAGGGATATCCCTGCTTTTTTCTGGAATGGGATCAATAAGAGATATCCCTGCTTTTTTCTGAATGGGATCAATAAGAGATATCCCTGTTTTTTCTGGATTGGGATCAATAAGAGATATCCCTGCTTTTACCTGGCTTGGGATCAATGAAAGATATCCCTGCTTTTTTCTGGAATGGGATCAATAAGAGATATCCCTGCTTTTTCCTGCAATGAGCCCTCAGGGTTTGGCTTCAGGACAGAGGGGAAATGTCCCCTCCCTGAGCTGCTTGGGATGGCAGCAACAGAACCCTGCGGGATTTTCCCTCCTGGCTGTGGCAGCTTTATGGGAGCTTCCCGAAGGGACAGGAATTGCACAATGCTGAGGGGAAATTCTGAGTCTTGGCTGCCCAAAATCTGGGATTAGCATGGCCTGAGGCAGCAGATAGGGCTCCACAGAGTTTAACTGCAATTAAAGTTTATTTCCAATACAGAGCAGCCGAGTCCAGCCAGGGCTGGAGTGAGTGTCCCTGGATTTTGGGCATGGCAGCCACGAGAGGTCCATGAGGGCAGAAATTCTGGATTTCTCCATGCCTGGAGCGTGGGGTGAGGCCATGGCGATGCTGGGGAGAGCTGGAGATGCCTCCTCACTTCTTCTTCTTCTTGTTCCGGAACAGCTTCAGGATGTGGTTCTCGATGACCTGTTGGACTGAGGGAGAGGGTGGGAGTCAGGGAAGCTGC